TCACACTGCTGTTTTAAAGCCCCTGGGATCACGCCACCTACTGACTATTGGCTAAAACAGCCTGGCATGATCCCAGGGGAATGGCCAGGACTTCCTGCTCCTGCCCCCCCCTTTTCACTCTGTCAGGTGAGCTCTTGGGTCCCGAGCAAACCAGGACCCTCTGTTATGAGGATCCCATTTTCCAGCATTCAAAGAGGTAAGAAAGAATATATACAGGGGACAGAATGCCCCGTCCCAGACCTCTGTACATTCATTAGAACAACTTTAGGAGGGGAGGAATTCTAACTCAATATATTGGCCACCACAATAACATTCTTCCACAGCTCCATCAGTGTAAGAACAATATAACTATAATTTCCATCTACTGCTGTACTGTATATTCTTTGCTATCATTTACCAGTTTGATAAGCACACATATTTATCAAACTGTTTGATGAGCACATATATTTATCATTCGCATATATTTATGTGTGTGTGTGTCTAATATGTTTAATAAATTAGACCTTTCTGCTCATTAATCTTTTTTTATTGCTTTCCCCGCAATTCCTTCTCTCTTCCATCATATTCACTTCCACCAGCCAGCTTGATGTGTTTCTTATAACTTGAGCACTAGGCTACTGGATAATGCCACATATTTTTTTGCAGTGGAACTCAGCTAGGCACCCGAAAAGTGGTTTTAAACATACTCACCAGCAAGCATGTTCTACTGAAATTAGGATACGAAAGCCTGTGTTAGATATTCACAAACCTATTGACATAAAAAGCCATGACTGGGGAGGGAAATGTCATCACACTGATCCCAGGAAGTGGCAGTTTATCTGCAAACATGCTGGGTCAGACATTACTTTCCATCAGTTGGTGTTCCTGGGGATTTGTCATGTGTTTGGATTTATGAGCACCTGAAATGGTGTGTGAGAGATAGAGAGAAAGAAAGAGTGTCGGAGTGTTTAGGATTGGCATATCAGACTCCAACAGGATGTCTGCTCCAAGCAAGTTAAGAAAAGAGCATCTTCAAGTGTAAAACATGAGGAGCTGAAGGTGCTCTCTCTGTATTTGGATAGGAAACCAGAGAGACAATGCATGGAAGTAACTGGAAGTGAAACGGGGATCAACTTTATTTAGAGCTTTGCAGGAGATTATGGGCAATTGTGGCTGAACAGGCATGAAGCAGTACAGTGCTTTTATCCTTCCCTCAGCCTTGCAATGTATATTTATTGACATGCAGCTGGGAATGTGCTTGTGATCCCAGATGAGCTTGTGTTCCCTAGAGCTGTAGTATGTATATGATTTTACTTGCATGTTTTATTTTTCTATCTCTGGCTCTCTCTTACACACACACACACACACACACACACACACACACACACACTATCATCAATATAATGTCAGGTTTCTGCTGGGGGGGATCATTTCTAATGCTCCCAAATGTCCCCCGCCTCCTTTTTAAATGATCTGCAATCAGAAAAATAACACGGCAGAGAATGGGCTAGGATAATGCCTTCTTCCTGATGTGCTGAGCTTTGCTGTGTGTTTTAACTTACAAGATACTGGTACATGGGAGAGCAATCATAAATGACACCCCTCACCCAGCAATCTTAAGTGGTACAGTCTTCTCCCAATCTCATTCTAACAATAACTTATTTATACCCCAGCCATTCTGGGCGGCTCCCAACAGAATATTAAAAACAGAATAAAACATCAAACATTAAAAACCTCCCTAAACAGGACGGCCTTCAGATGTCTTCTAAAAGCCAGGTAGTTGTTTATTTCCTTGACATCTGATGGGAGGGCTTTTCACAGGGCGGGCGCTACCACCGAGAAGGCCCTCTAGATGTCTAAAGTTTTCCCAAGTTGTCTCAGTGATTTCAGCAAGCTTCTTGGGTTCTTTGTCTTTCTCCAGCTGTTAGACTTGTTTGTTAACTGAGTCATTTTTGATGTCAGGGTATTCTAAAGCCAGACACAAGTTGCTGAATTGGCTGCCTAGGCTCCTGAGAAACTGCTAGGACCTCGGGCAGGTGTACTGCAGATAACGCCTGCCATGACCCATCCCTGGCTAGACTGAACTTAGTGAGCCACTGGTGGCTACTTGGTGGAGGGAATACAACATTTAGAAGACTTCTGAAGGCAGCCCAGTATAGAGAAGGGTTTTTTTCTGTTTAATGTTTCATTGTGTTTTTATATACTGTATTTTTTGCTCTATAAGACTCACTTTTTCCCTCCTAAAAAGTAATGTGTGTGCTTCTTATGGAGTGAATGCAGGCTGCGCAGCTATCCCAGAAGCCAGAACAGAAAGAGGGATCGCTGCTTTCGCTGTGCTGTTCTGGCTTCTGGGATTCAGAATATTTTTTTTTCTTGTTTTCCTCCTCCAAAAACTAGGTGCGTCTTGTGGTCTGGTGCGTCTTATCGAGCGAAAAATACGGTATGTTGGAAGTCGCCCAGAGTGGCTGAGGCAACACAGTCAGATGAGTGGGGTATTGTTGTTGTTGTTGTTGTTTGTTGTTGTTGTTATTGTTGTTGAATAGGATGTCCTAGTTTCATGGGAGAAATGTTGGAGGGTATTTTATTGTATTTTATGGGTTGACATGGATGCCTTTGCTCTTCTTGCTCCTGGTATTTGCTTATGGCAGGCCAGATACAGAACTGTATCCATGAGGCTGCGACCTGATAGGCGCTCACCTGGAGGTAAGTCCCACTGAATTTGGTGGCACTTCTTTCTGACTACTGAGCAGAGTAGCAGAGGATTTCACTCTTTGTGGTTGATTGGAGTCATATCTGGCTCTTGATAATTTACATTCACTTAGCCTAAAATGCATTTAAGAGCATAAATATTTATTGCGCTGTTTAGACTCACATTGCGAGCTAATCGCAATGTGCATATGCAGAAAGTAAACAACGTGCCATATATATTTTCTATTAGGCCTTGAAAGATACGATTAGACGTTTGAAAACAAGGGGTTATTATGATGTGTTTTATTGTAATTGCTTCTATCGTTAAGGCCTAGGCTGCTCATTCCAATAATAAAAAAACCCCCAGCACCCTCCCAGACAATCGTACAATGAAACAGTAGGGAATAATGGTGCACATTCTGCCTTTTTTAAAAAAACACACACAGAGAGAGAAGGACACACACATCTATCTGAGATGGTTTATCTGTAAATATTTGAGGAAAGGTAAACTGCAAAATTGTACTACCTAGTGGTGGGAAGCAAACACTGCTTGCTGAACTGACTGACTGTCGAACTGATTGCAAGGACGCATAATCTGCAGTGCCTCTGAGCCAACGATTCTGGCATTGCGCACAGCAGAGGGATGCTCAGATGCAGTTGCACAGATGGATCTGAATTCATGCACCCATTAAACTGATGGCCAGCACTATCAGTGTGCCTCACCTGTTCAAAGTAGGAAGCTGATGGTGACATGCACGGTTCTGATCCACCACAGGAGCTCTGTGTGGGGATGCCAAAAGAGAAATCACTCGGCCAGCCCCTTTGGCATCTACGGTTCCCAAACTGTAAAGAGATTCATAGGCGAAAAACTTGCTTTTCGGCACAGATAATCCTCTCTGCATCATGAAGTTGATATCACAACAGTCAGTGAAATGGAACTAGTCAGGTTTACTATTATGTTTTAAAATCCTATCTCTCTGTATAAGAAGGGGAAAGTCCTTAATTTGGATATCAGCTGGAAAAATTCACAGTGTTATCTGTCTGACACATATATAGATTAATGAGATCATTCCAAAGGTCAAAAACTGAGCTCTAGGAAGCCACAGAGATGAACCTGAGAATAACAATGACCAGGTGTTCGTTTTGAGAATTGCCTGCTATCCCTTACTGGGCAGTAGCCTGCAGATAGCAGCGACAGAAAACCTGTCATCACAACAAACAGCTTCAATGAGAAATCAGGGGCAATCTGTTAGATTGCCGCAATGGCCTCTGGGGCTAAAGAGCTTGAAAATGCCCAAGAAATCAGAAAATGTTGCGCGCGCGCACACACACACACACACACACACACACACACACACACTATGGATATTATTGACCTGCAACTGTAATTTACAGGAGAGGGAAGAAACATAAATTGTATACATTGTGCTGTATACATTGTGTACAATGATGTACAAAATTGTCAATCAGCTGAAAGGTTTATTGCAATTAATTCCTCTTTTATAAATCTCCATATAAGTTTTGCAATCGAAACGGGCATCAGCAGAGATGTCAGAAGACATCAGGCTAATGTTCTGCATTGCTCCACCTAATTTCAAAATTCCTCTGCAAGCAAGCCACTGACCCCTCTAGCAAGAGTAATGTGGGCTTCCGCAGAAAACCAAATCGAGGGGGGGAGGGAGGGAGGGAGAGGAAGGGAGAGAGAGAGAGGACTTTGTGTGTCCAAGAGAGAGAGGAAGAGGAACAGGAAGAGGAAGAGGAAGACTTCAACCACTTTTAGCTCAGTTGCTATCCACCACTAGTTTTGGCACCCTTCCACTGTTGACACCAAACCCATAAGAGATTAACCCTAATGGGATGCCGTCCGTGGCATAAAAATGGTTTTCCGCCACTGGCAGAGACAATAATCAGCTAGAATTGGTCCACTTGGTGTAAGGCAGATTCTTATGACCTAGTGGGACTTTTCTTCCATATCCTGCAGTTGAAAAAACAATGCATCAGCAAATATGGAGAAACAGAGTAAAACACACAAACAAACACCCACCCACCCACACACACACCAAGGGCTTACTTTATTAATAATGTCTAGATAAGACTATACCTTAGCATATCCCTCCTTTTGCAGTTGCATACAGTACTTACATTACAAGATTGATACATGACACTCTAATTAGCGGTTTTGCCTGGCATTTTGCCCGTAATTGCCATTAGTTGCACTATCCAAGAATTCCTGCTATTCTCCGTGACAAAGAATCATTTCCTCTAATAATAGGGATAGAGAGATATTAAAATGCTCTCACTTGATTATGTAATTTTTTTCTGCCTCTCTCTAGGAAATGCTCAGTGCCAAAGGCAGAGTCATACAGCCACATTCAGTGGTATGTCGACAGATCAGCACAGCAATTCATACATTTTTGCAAGTTGTGATGGGGTAACAGACCTGAAACTACCAAAACCAAATAATCGCAAGTATCTATTTGATGACCTTTCTCGTAGAGAGTATGTATGGTATCCCTTGATAAGCTTCTTTAAGTTAGCTATCTGTCTGTCTACCTACTGCCTGAGGGCCAATTGGCAGACAGGGAGGTTTTGACAGGAGAATAAATGGCCCTGGTTCTTAATATATTGAGTGCATAATGTAAAAAATTAAGTGAGGAATCATGAAATTATTACTGTTGTTTCATTATTCTATACTCTCCCAGGAAGGAGATTCCAGAGGTAACCTTGAAATGGCTTCTTTTTCCTCATATGAAATAATAATGCAGATTTTTTTCAATTAGTTTTTATTTAATAATAATAATAATAATAATAATAATAATAATAATTTATTATTTATACCCCACCCATCTGGCTGGGCTTCCCCAGCCACTCTGGGTGGCTTCCAACAAAATATTAAAATACAGTAATGCATCAAACATTAAAAGCTTCCCTAAAATAAAGATTTTATTGTGTTACAAAACAAACCAATAAACAGGTGAAAGTACATCTATTGTCTCCACTTGAAATTCATAGTGTCTTTTTCACAGTTCATTTACTGAGAGACACTTTTGGCATAGACATCTTGTGGTTGGGGGAGAAGAAAGGTGAGAGAGGGAGGGAAGGAGATGAGACGAATTGTTATTTCATTCTGTTGTATAGTGTTAGTGTAGGGATTTGTGTCAGCATCATGTCACTTACTCTCAGCAGCTAGAAATATCATAACTAGACACTGGAAGGACCTATCAGAGGTGAACATAGACCGCTGGTACCAAAATGTATGGGAAACAGCCCTACTAGAAAAGTTAACCAACAAACTTAAATCAGCATGGGGACAAGCAAAGGAGGATGCCTTCACCCCGGTGTGGTTCCCCTATCCCCCGTAACAGTATACAAATCAATATGGCTAACCTGACCCCAAAACCTAACCCCCGTCACACATACAAACAAGCCACACTGCCATCAACTGAACACAACCGACCAAGCCCTGAACCCCCTAATTTCTTGCAAAGTCATTAAATATAAACTAGTATGTCTGGTGGAACACTCTATCACAAGAGACTAGGGCCCTGCGGGACTTGACATCTTTCCGCAGGGCCTGCAAGACAGAGCTGTTCCACCAGGCCTTTGGCCAGGGCACAGCCTGACTCCCTCCTTTGGCAACCTTCACAGAACTCTAGCCCAATGGTTGCCATTAATGTGATTTGAATTAATTTTATAATGAAATGATTTTAGAATGTTGTAAGCGCTAATTGCATCCCTGACAGACAACATGGCAACTTGTGGGGGCAAGGGGGGGGGGAAGCAGGGGATCACTCAGGCAGGTACTTCAAAGCAGCATAAGAGCCATAGAATCCTAGAGCAGAAAATCATGGATTTGGACTCTACCTCAACCCCTAGCAAAGTCTTTCCTTAACAATCGGGTGCTGGTAACATTTGGACTGCCAAATGTTTGTCTCCCCACACAGCCCCACAATGCTCCATTTCAGCACCAGGGTCAGTTCTGCCCCTAGAGCTTCTGTCTCTGTCCACTCATCCTAAGGTGGAACGTGTTTTCAATAGCTAGTAGCCACAAATTATTGGAAGCCATCAGTGCTTATTTGAGCAAGCATCTTCTAGCAACAGCGTCCGTCAGGCAAGTGCCATTGGCTACTACTGACTCAAAAGCTTAGGCAAAAAGTGATCTCACAATAATAATATTATGGGGCAAACAGCAAAGGAATGGTAACGACAGTTCTTATTTCCTGGAGAAATATCAATGACTTTGCTTCCAATTTGTAAAAGCACATCCATTTGCTCCCCAAAGTACATGTGCTTAGGATGATTGATACGCTTGCGAGCTTCTCAGCTCCTATACATCCATTAGCTCTGCTTTTTCTTTCCCCTGTTAAAACTCAGGAGCTGTCAGATTGAAATGGCAAGATCAGCTAATGCTTTGCTAAATACCCATAGTGCCCCCAAAGGGAACATAGAGCCATCTATGTCTGAAAGAAATGGCTTCTACCATGCTGTCTATCGACACTGGACATTCCATTTGTGTTATGGGAAATTGCAAGCTAGTTAACCTGTATCTGAATCTTTTAGAATATATGTTTGTGTGTGTGTGTGTGTGTGTGTGTGTGTGTGTGTGTTTTCGTACATTTTGTAGACATATGAGCATCATGAGTGAAGCAGTTCACTCATGGAAGTTTATTATTTACTCATTTATTTCATTTTGCATTCTGCTTTTCCTCTAGGAAGCTCGGGGCAATATATACACAGTTAACCTATTTATCCTTACCAAGCCCTGTGAAGTAGGTTAGGCTCTAAGCATCAGGGCTGGCAGGCTAGCGGCAAGGCAAGCACAGAAACAAGCAAATGGCATATGCACAGCAGTAGCAAGCAGGTAAGCAATTGAGCCACTCCAAGTCCAGCTTTTCTTTTACTCGAGCAATTATGTTCTCAGGCTGCAAAGCCAAGCTGAAGAAGCAGGACTTCCAATGAAACATTGCAGTGTAGAATGTTCCTGTTCAGAGTGTCAGCCAGCCAGCCAATCCATTCTACCTTTCTCCTAGGCAAAGTGGCTTTCCAGGTGCAACAGAACCACTATAGCAGTTCCCCAGCAGGTGGGGGTTGCGGTTGTTTACCAGCAGGGGAGGGGAAGAAGTGAAGTGGCAGGGAGGTTGGCACAGTGAAAACATGCCAGCAGAGTCAATCCAGAACTCCTGCCTGTGTGCTTGCACCTTGCCAACCCTTCCGCCACCTTGCCGCTCCCAATGAGCAACAGTGACTCACCTGCCAAGAAATGATTGTTGTGGCTCCACCCCACCCCCTGATTCTCATGGCCATTGAATCACTATGCTCATTAGACTGCCTTAGACGATTCCCTCTCCCCTTTTTAGGGGTCCTCCCCCTAAAAAGTTCTTTTGAACTTCTGCGAATCTTGAGATTTCTTGGGTGCCTTCCTCTTGGGCATGGATGGTGCCATTTTGGTTGCATAATGACACTTGGAAATCCGAGCTCATTATTAGTAGAAAGGAATGGTACTCTGTTGGGTTCTCTGGTAGCTCCAGAGGACTGCTGAGAGGGGCGGACTTTGGTAACGTTTCGTAATATGGTGCCCTGTGCGAGGCCAAGATTGTCACCCCCAAATGGATCTTATGTTACCTTTTGTTAAGCATTTTTATATACTGCTTTTGGGGCCAAATAGTGAGCAGCAAATTAAAATACAACAAAAAATACAATCAATCAAAACAATATAAAATAGCACCATCATGCAATACCCATCAGTCACACGGTTAGGAATGCCAGTTAGCCCTGTGGCAAAGTAACAGAAAAACCATCAATCAAGCATACATACTCCCTTCCATTCTGGGATATATATTTCTTTCCATTTCACCAGGGGGTGGGCGTGGGGGTGGGTTAAGATCCCTCAACAGGCTTATTTGGGCAAATCACTGTGTTGGCACAGAGAGTAAGATACCTGGGTTCGTTTGTTAATATTCTCTGTCTGAACCTCCAGGACCTCCAGGACCAGATACGATTATGTGACTAAATATTTGAGACTATGTAAGACTTCTTACTTCAGATCTTACTATACCACTGGAGAAAGGATAATGAGATGTACCTTTGATTTTAAGCAGCAATAGGTTCAACACCACAGCTAGTGTTATTAATTCAGCATGGCTTTGTATGTCTCGCAGAGCATGTTTTTCAGATATATTACATGTCCGTGCAAAGAGTTAGCTGATTACCCAACACATCATAGATGATAAAATGGAGTAAACATTTGAGAATAAACGAACACCAAAATGAGCAAATGCTGCAAGAGGAGTCAGGTTGTACAAAGAATCAACAAAATTATCAGCAAAAGATTATTTGCAATAAAACTGGTTTAGATGTCTTTAAAAACATTTGTACATTTTATGGTTTGGCTACTTCTCACATATTTAATAACACGCAATATTAATGCAGCCCAAAGTAAATCTGGATTCCTCTGTAGTGAAAATTCTGCCACTGTTCCTTTCAGAATTATTGAGATTTGTTTTGTGTTAACAGCTCTCTGAAGAACCCTCTGTTAACAAAAAAAAAATGCAACTGTCCATCTGGACTCAATAATGTTTTCTTATCTCTGATTGAAGTCAAATATGTTTTTGAGTCTTCTTCCTTGCATTTCAATTAGCTTGTCATTTGCCATTTTCAGTTGTTATGCCCTCCCCCTTTCCAACACTTAAAAAAATTCTAACCTTTTCTTGTTTGGGTTAAGCCATCACTTACAAATTGATTGAGAATAATACACTAGCTACTTTAAAAACTGGGAGGCAAAAGATAAATGTAAAAGGAAAAACAAATCTGTCAAATTCTGAGTGAACAAGCCTGCTTAGTCAAATCAGCGCTGCATCAAGAAAGTCACGCTGAATGACTCAAAGCAAGTTTCATGTAACCGTTTGTAGTCATCTATCTTCCGGAGATAAGCATCTTCTTCATCCAACTTCCAGATCTTTGCCGGTATGAAATTGTGCCTGATGAGCCTGTTTGCTGCGAGTAACTTGGATTCTTTTAAGCCTATTTAGGAGGATACTAGTCTTTGCATCATTTCACAGCAATGCGTTCTACTTGATTTTCTTGCAGAGATGCAAGTGTAGTGATTAAACGGTTTAGTGGTGAAGTACACAGAGGTTTATGTCCCTGGTGTTTCCAGACAGGGCTGGGATAGGTCCCTATCTGAGAATCTAGGGAGCTGCCGCTTGCCAGAGACTTAGCTGGTTAATCAGTGGTTGGTTAAGTAGCTTCTTATGATTATGATGCTCTTTAGTATCAGGTTCCCTGAGGTAACTGACTTAAGTGATAGGCAATGCCTCTCCCCTTGGATCACGGCAGCTACTGAGCTAGAAGCCGCAGAATTCCACCTTCATTGGTGGTCCCTAAACGCATCAGATTGCTGGCCAACTCTACAGACAAGCCGTAGCAGAGGACATTAAATCACAAAATTATAATGGTGGGATGAGTTTGAGGTCCTTGGAATTCCAGGCTTTCTAGAGATG